AAAACAACCCAATAGCTGGGTTTGTCCCTTTTTAACCCATCGCTGGGTTATATTTAACCCAGCATTTTTTAGAGTGTATGATACTGTTTTTGAAATCAGATCTTTGCATAGCTATGACAGGAAACAATAATGCTTTGTAAAAAAGCAAATAAGCATGTTTCCTATTCTGTGTCCTAAACTCCTGAAACATTGGCCTCATATTTTAGAGCAGTCAATGCAATTTGGGAAAGAAATCAATCAAATTTATATGTGTGTGAAAATATTCAGGTATAACCCCCTTTGTAATCGTTAACATTTTCTTAAGTAACTGTAATTAAATATATGTTTTCTCAGTAACATATTACAATTACATTTATTTAGTAATTCATTACGTAATTTCCTTACATGTAACTAGTTACGCCCCAACACTGCTCATAGCTGGTCTTTAGCTACAGATGGTCATTAGTTGTTTGACCAGTTAATATGTTGCAAAAACACATCTTGTAACTATCTAATAGTTATCAAGTTCCAAAAACCTAGCTATCATCATAAGCTGAAGTTTCCAGCAGGGATTTCTTCCAACGCTTCCTATCTGATGCTTTGTCTAGTATATCTATCGGCTAGATCTAGTATTCCCATCATGCAATTTTTAAGTTGCAGGGGACTTTCCATTTATTTGTAATTCTTCAGGGAGTGCAGTGCATTCCCACTGAGTTTCCCCACAACTGTCAAGGTGAATAATGCCCTATTTTTGCTGTATTTGAGTCGGTGCCAGTGAATCGGATACGAGGTTGCCTCAGCAATCGGCACAGGTCCTACAAGACGATAAAGGGGTTGCTTAGCAACTGCATCAAGGGGGTTGTGTACAGCAGCGCACACCTTCAGTGCCTTAGCAGAGAGCTCAGGCTCACATTTCACATTACAGCGCATGTTGTGATGCGGGTCCATGGTGCACTTTCCAGTTCTGCTGCATTCAAGACTCGTCTAGTCATGAAAAGTGCCACATTGTGCATATATTCTGCGGTATTGTGGCTGATGTTCTTTTGAGATCTTCTGACACACATGTATTTGTTTTATCGTTTATATGCTAATTAAAGACCCTTCGAGCATCAACACAACATTTTAATACAAGAAATATTACTCTTCATTAGCCGACAGTTTTTCAGCCTCCAGGACATGGATTATTTTTAAGGATGAAGCCATTATGTTACATATCACAAATGATCTTGTGTACTCAAGGGCATGCATTGACTTTCTACCTTTTAATATGACCACAACACTGTGACGTGACATATGGCCAAGTATGGTGACCCATACTCGGAATTTGTGCTCTGCATTTATCCCATCCTAAGTGCACACACACAGCAGTGAACACACACACACCGTGAACACACACCCGGAGCAGTGGGCAGCCATTTTTTGCCCCGGCAGCAGTTGGGGGTTCGGTGCCTTGCTCAAGGGCACCTCAGTCGTGGTACTGAAGGTGGAAGAGAGCGCTGTACATTCACTCCCCCCACCTACAATCCCTGCCGGTACGAGACTCGAACCCGCAACCTTTGGGTTACGAGTCCGACTCTCTAACTCATTAGGCCACAACTTCCCCCTGGAGAACTGAGATGCATACTAACAGTGAAACCGATCCATAAAACATAAAAACTGCTTGTAAATAGCACACCAATACAGCAGACATTTGATCACCGACTGCAGGCAGCAGCATTTAAAGAAGTCTTTTAATTTCAAGGACGGGAGATGCGTACTGGATTCTAGAAAGCTAGAAAGATTATGGAAGTAAAACCCTCAACCAAAGATTCACCTTTTACTTCCTCTGTTTGAGCTTCAAATCCTATTTCTTTCTGTTTCGTCCACCCTCTGTCTTTTGCTTTCCCTCACACGCATTTATACATACAAACTGGAGCATTCGCTCTCTGCATTCACCTAATTCGGAACTGGGCATCCTCTTTTCCCTCCTCCTCGTGTGTCCTCAGCACAATGTCTCTCTGTGTCAGAACAACCATCATGCGAAACAAAAAGCCCTCATTTATTTATTTTTAAGCACACTCAGTCCGTTGTCCTGCGATGCAGTGCCAGTGCAGCTACATTTTAAATCCCTGAGCCAAAAGAGGGAGAGGAAATGTCTGACCTAGATTCGATCTGTTTACCCCTAAATTACTTGTCCAATTATGCTCCAACTAAACCTCCATGGGGCAGACGGTGTCTTCACCGAATAATATTTAGGTATGGAAAACAGGAGGAGACACAAAGTAATTATCATGGATTGCTTGAGTCATGCGTATTACTATGTCTGATAATTTATATTAATTAGATGGATGTGGTACTAAAATGACAGGTGGATGCAAACAACATTGCGGTAATGAATAGTACTTTAGTCTGAGTCTGTATGGGCTTGCCATACCATCTTTCTGTATGCCTTTACATTGCAAACTGTCAACAATCATTTAAAGGCATAGTTCAGCTAAAACAAAAATAAAATAAAATAAAATTTCTTCTGTGGAACATAAAAGAAGATATTTTGAAGAATTTTTCACCTGTCCATATAATAAAAGTCAATGGGGTCTGAAAGTTTTAAGCTACAAAAAAAGACATAAAGGTAGCACGAAATGAACATGGCTCGATGTTCAAAGACTTCTGAAGTGCAAAAGATGCACAGTCATTTTTTATTGTCAACAGATCGAAAATTAAAGGCCCTGATAAACAAACAATGATTGGGTTTGATGACATTTTTAACAAAATACAGCCAAAACAAAGGTGTTTTGAAATTAAATTTGGTCGTTTGAAACAGTTTGCCATGCAAACGTTTCACTTGAAGGCACATAATTGAAGAATGAATGGGTGTGAGCTCATTTCAAACAAAATAGTCAAAACAAAGGTGTTTTGGAGTTAAATTTGGTGGTTTGAAACAACTCGTTTGCATCACATAACCAGCTCCATACACTGTAAAAATGATTGTGATTTTAACAGTAAAAGACTGTAAAAATGCTACAGTAAAAACCTGTTAACTGGTTAACAGTAAGTTTCTATACTAATTCGGTGAATAAATGTAATTACATTTAATGTAATTCTACAGTAAAATACTGTTAAAAATACGGTTTTTGGAAGTGAAAAAGAAAAAGTCATTGTATAATTTACAGTGAAAAAACGTAAATTGACACTCCCAGAATTCCCTGCATGACACTTCATATTTGATGTTTTTTGTTGAAATAACATGTTTCTTATTTTTTTCTTATCAGTTGTGTACACTAGGGTGTAATCTTACATCGAATGTTGTTAAATTAATGTTTATTGCATTATTTCAGTATCATGTGTGTCACCATGAAGGGGTTTATTGTTTGTGTGAATGACACTGTGCACCTTCTATAT